CTCTCTCTCTCTCTCTCTCTCTCTCTCTCTCTCTCTCTCTCTCTCTCTCTCTCTCTCTCTCTCTCTCTCTCCATGAGAGTCTTGCTTTGGAAGTTCTACTCAAACTTTTTAAGCTTGCCACGAGAGAAAAGCATTCAGCTTTTGAATGAAGTGACAAACATATACTGGAGATTCTAAGGCCGCCGGACACATGCATAACATGTTCTAATGTTATCATCTTCTTGTCAACCAAAAAAAAAAGAAAAAAGGTACATCTCAGGAAACTTCACTGTCAATATGAAGATACCAAAAAAAAGAGACAACAGAAGATATAGAAATAGTTGAGACCTTCGAGATATTTTCACAAGATGAGGAATTATCTGCTACTAATCACTGATCATATGTTGCAATCGTATTTATTCTCAGGGCACAGGTTGTGGGTTGGCCACCAGTTAGATCATACAGGAAGAACATACTGGCTGTCCAATCCGAGAAGGCGAGCAAGGAGGAAGGAGAGAAGCCGGGCAACACGGCTGCCTTTGTCAAGGTTTGCATGGATGGGGCACCATACCTACGTAAGGTTGACCTCAAAATGTACAGGAGCTATCAAGAGCTCTCCATGGCCTTGGAGAAGATGTTTAGCTCCTTCACCAGTGGTAAGTGTGGCTGCAGCCTTGACACCATGCGTCGTAGCGTACAAATTACCCCGGTGGATACGTCCCGATCATGTCTATCGGGGAATCATAACGTGTATGAGAGACAGTGCCCATGTGAGTTGCAGAGCTTTGCACCCCACATGGGTTGGTGACCCACTCGGTCATGGAGGCCATTACTGTATCCCATGCCACAATAAAATTCTCATGCTCGGTAGATCAAAATAGAGTTTTGTCTCTGCAGCTCTCATCATCTGCTGTTTGTTTAAGCTGGAAAAAGGAAAGACGAGAGTAAAGAGAAATCATCATCTTATGTTGCATGTTTCTTCCAATCACAGCAAACTGTGGCTCTCAAGGAATGAACGGGAGGGACTTCACGAATGAAGGGAAGCTGATGGATCTCATCAATGGTTCTGAGTACGTGCCAACTTATGAAGACAAGGATGGCGACTGGATGCTCGTCGGAGATGTTCCATGGGAGTAAGACTCGCTTCATCTTCTTCCCATCGATACTGCTATAGATCTGGATCATTTACTCTCGCCAAATCAATAATCCAGGATGTTTGTGGATTCCTGCAAGCGTTTACGCATAATGAAAGGATCGGAAGCCATAGGACTCGGTCAGTGCTCTCTCTCTCTCTCTCTCTCTTTGTGGATTGCTTCTGAGTCGACCGTGCTTCTTCTTACCGCAGCACCAAGAGCAATGGAGAAGTGCAAGAGTAGAAGCTGAGGAATCAAAAGCCGTGATAACAGCTGGTTCTTGATCACAGTCAAAACGCCAACACGAGGCGTGGTCGCCGGATCTGGGACGAGCATATCCATGCTGTCTGCTGTGTTTTCTATATCGTGGTCGCAGTACATGTTACGTGCAGTTGTCTGTGTGAGAGGGTTTTCTTATGTGCCAAGGACATGAAGCGGTGTTAGCTTGTTGGCTATGATCTCAATCTGTCTGCATTGTTTATTACCGGTGTGTGTGCAGGTCCAATAAACTCTTCTACGTGTTAGTGCTGTTGGTGTGCAGTGTGTGCTTTTATTCCTGCAATTATAATGCAAACCTTCCCAGCGAATCCCCTCCCCCCCACCCTTGATTTGTTCTTGGCGTTAGCAAAGCCATGTTGCCAGTGATGGAGGTGTAATTTAAGGCTGAGAGCTGTCGATGGGGAACATGCACAGTGCGATGATTTGATCAAAGCAAGGAGAGTGTTCCCCAACCTTGCAACCATTTCAACATCTCTTATGGGGGATGAATGGGTCAACGAGAAAGAAGTCTGCCACCTTCATGTGGTCCTGTGGAGGAACAGATCTAAAGCTGACAGGGATGGGTTGTGGTTAGAAATATTATTGATTCATTGAATTAGGAAGCAAATAGGTTGAGCGAATCCTGTGGGTAATTGGCTTTGAATTAGGTGCTTGGAGAATTAATTGCTAGTGTTCTTTAGACATTCTACCAACTTCGAATATTGTGATAATGGGAAATTTATTTCTTTGATTATAGTCATGCATGAATTATTAACTGTGACTGCTGAGCTCTGTTGTTGGTTTTATATAGTTTGTATGGCATGTTTGGAGTTGATTCTGCTCTTGCAAAAGCTTCTTACAAGCAAGTAATTTTGTTGAAGATTGAAACATGAAGTTGCTCATATGTGATTAGCTAATTGCTTGCTAAAGGAGATCCAGAATCATTTTTTCTCTTAACATAACAAACATATAAATGTTGATAAATAGACAACTCAATTTGGATTAAGAAAGATTGAAAAAGAATAACAAATGCAGGGCTAACTAAGATTCTTCAATCTAATCTCCTTTTCACTGCTTATTCTTTAAAATACAAAAAACAAATTAGGATATTTGATAGTGGGTGTTTCGAGAAGGAGGGATGGAAACTGCCAATAATGAAAGTACAAAGTCATAACTAATGACAAAAAACACTTATCGAAATTACTTGAAGATGACCAGTTGCTAAACAAAAAGAAGATTGTAGTTTATCAACAATTCCCTTAAAGAAATCCTCAAAAAATTGGTCCCCAAGTTGCCAAATTTGGCATTCATAAGCCTGACTGACTTCATGAAGTCAACAAATCTAGCACATATTCAGCTAGAAAACCAAACTTTGAGCTCACAGTTTACATATTGGCTTTGTGATGACCAAAAGAATTACTTCAATCAGTATCAGAATGAGCAACAACAATGAGGATCATTGTTTTCCCAATAATGCAGATTGTATAAAGTTGAAGATACATTATCATAAGCCTCATCAGAATATAAGTGGCACAATGTAACACCAAAGATCTATCTTATTTGAAAAGATTGAACATATACCAATGCATATTGATTGGATGGGAACGAAAGTACAGATTCATTGGCATTGCTGAAACTCAAGGTGCAAGAAATAGTGTGTTCTGAAAAACGTATCTTAAATGACACATCATGCTCTTACTCCATCAGTGGGTGGAGATGATGATTCTGCAAAGGTAGAAGCTGATCGAGTTTTCTGCTCTGTCATGACAATGTGATATCATCAAACAATGAACAATCATGACATTGATACAACTGAAATAAAAGATAGCCAATCTATGATAATCTGAGAAAGTGAATTAATTATAAACCGTACAGGTACAGTAAGTTTGTTTGGCTTTCAAGGGTAGAAGCTTCCATTCAACATTTATACATTACCTACACTGGATGAAAAACCAAAAAACCAAATCTAAAGCTGAAAAATCATAGTGGTAAGTTAAACTTGCCTGATGCTAAAACCTTTGGAGGCTATTGTCATGTTTAATTGAATCAACATTTATTTTCAAGTGAAATGTAAGATATCGTAAGCATTCTTATTCCTTTTCAACCCCCCCAAACTCCAAGAGTCTATTCTAAAAAGGCAGACATATACTGATTAGAGCAGCCCAATTGTATGGCTGATACAGCAAAAAGGATTAAGGCTTAACAAAAAGAAACTAATTGATTTTGTATGCTATTATTGGCTAACAGATACATATACTAGTTGCTGATTAGACATGATGAACAATGCATTGCGTCATCTGTCTTCTCTTCTGCTTCTTGCCATCAGATATCTGCAAGCAGCATCAAACATTAGACAGTCTATTGGAGATACATTAAAAAGAACACCAGACAGTTGAGAAGCGAGTGTAGCTCTAGAAATACTAATCACTCACCTGCTGAATGAAAAGTGGTACCTGGACCCTTTTTGATCCATCAGCTAGTCTCTTACATGGTAAATGGTTTTCAACAGCAACAAACTCATTCAGTACCTACAAGTACCGGAAATAAGTGAAAAGAGAAATGCAGAGGATTTTTTTTTAATTTTAAGTGCTAAACAATGCAGCAGGGGGATGGATTAAAGCAAAGTGACCACAGCAAGTTTTTCAGATAAAATGCATGTAAAAGAAAGGAGTGAGATCCCCAATACCCTTTCGATACAAAATTTTGAACTGAAAAAAAAAAACACATCTACTAAACACAACTGAAGAAAGAAAACAGGAGTTTGTCTGAATTTTTCAGACACGACAAACAAAAAGAAGATACAACATGCAGAATCAGAACAACCCTGTTTTTCTCAGTTAAGTTCAAAGAAGATGTTAAAGCCTGATAAGTTTATCAAACTCCATCACAGGAAAACAATCATGAAGACAAGCTATCTATGTACTAGGTGTACAACATTAGTTTACACCTGCTAATGAACACCTCAAATTGAGAAGGTCCTCAGTTATTGTGGAAGGCTTGTTCAGTTTTCTTCTGCATCATAACATTGTTATAGAATGTCGGCCAGTTTGAGACTCAAATCTTTTGGCTTCACAATATTATCTCTTTAAGGTTTATGCAACAGAATTTTCCTTTTCAACTAACTATTTATTGGGTCATATGTAGTTCAGTGATTTCTATAACCAATGCAATTCCAGGCTTTCTGACAACACACAATACACTCAGCTGCTGGTACATTTTATATTTGCACCAACTGTGTAGGGTAGTTCAGTTGAAATTTTGTTTCCAATCCACCCAATACAATGCCCTCTTTGTCAGTCACAAATGAATTAATTGTATCTTACAAATTCGGTACCTGATTTCGTATTGCTCCAATTAGCATATCCTGACATCCAGAAGCATGTATATCTTTCAAATTAGGGCATCGAAGCAACAATCTCTCTGATAAATTTTACAAAACTTGTTAGCAACCAAGTGTCATTATAACATTTCAAAAAGGTCAATGACAGCATAATACCTGGATGCAAGTTTGTACATGAGTTAAGATTCAGATCATTAAGCTCTGGGCAATTCAAGTATAGAGCCTACGATATTGCAGACAGTTCAAAAGGTATGACAAGAAAGAAAAAATATACAGAATCTAGAGTTGCCTCTACTAGATTATTTTGAATTTTAACTTACATCCAAACCCGAGCAACCCCATAAACTGAGCTTCCTCAAATTTGCATGTTTTATAATCAGTTTTTGGTAGATCCGTTGTGACTTCATGGTGGATAATTTCTGACACATGGTATATTCTCCACTCCTTTCAATATTAGGACATAGTTTTTCTTGGGAACTTTCATAATGATAACCAGTATCACTTATGCTCATCCCGCAGTCGATAAGCTGAAGAAGAGGTAACTGAACTGCAGCAAACTGGATCCCACCTGAAAAGGTATGGACACGGACAAAAAGCAACAGGTACGATTATAGCCAACTAACATGATAGGATAATGCTCGCAGTACAGAGTATACAAGCAGCAAAGTGATAATGGAAGAACAAATGCTTACTCGAAGTAATATTTGGGCAAAGTGCAAGCAGGAGTCTGGATAGAGTCTCAGGAAGCACTTTGCATATCATGCGAATCCCACTGTCGCTGATGCTTGACCTGGAAAAATTACAGATCAACATGTAAAAGCAAGAAAACAGCAACACGTGAGTTTATGAAGCTTTAAAGCAGCATGAGTTCAATTAGCATACAAAAATTGATTCTACAGTTAACTTTATTCCAGCGCATTAAAGATCATAGCTACATTTAAGCACTCTTTGATAACAGAATGAAGCATACCCACTCAAATCAAGCAACTCTAGACTTGTGTAACACGAAACTATAGAAGTCACAGCAGCATCTGTGATTCTGGAACCAAGAACCAATGATAGCATACGCAAACACCTGAGAAAATAAAACTTACACATCAATCTACTGAAATGATGAACTGAAGAGCAGTAGAACAAAAAATGCTGTTGGAATGCCATTTCATCTGGTCCAGATGAATGAATCTGTATAAATTAAATTTCCTTATACTTGAGCCTTAACATCTGCTACATTTGACATTAGCACCAGTGTCATGTATCAAGCATCTTAAGTAACTTTTCTAGAGCATATTACTTACCTCAGGTTTGCACTTGTAAGAGCAAGAACAGCTTCATTGCAAAGTTGTATTGATGCAATATGGATATTTGTTAGCCTTGGACAGCTGCTCCCCAAATTTTCCATCATTGTAACAAGATCTGTCGAATCATTTTCTTGTCGAGTAAAATCAAGAGAAATCTCTCTCAGATTAGGGCATTTAAAGACCTATCAAGAATGAACGTTAGTGAACACATGCAAAAAGACATAAATAAAACCCAGATTAACTGTTGCAGAAAACATAGAAGTGCATACCATTTTTGAAATGCAATAAAGATTTGATAGCCAAAGTGTCGATAGACTTGATGAAGAGATATTGAGAAATCCAATGTTGGTGCAACCTTCAACTTTAAGAGTCGTGAGGCATCGTTTCTCAGAAACAAAACGACTCAACTCATTCCTACAGCAGGACAGATAGGTGGCATATAAACATTCGGAAGAAAAATTGTACGCCATTGCATATGAAATTGGAAAGTAAATCAAATAATGGACCTCAATTTGGTTGAATTTATTAAAATATATTGGAAAGCAAATCAAAAAATTGTACACAGATAGGTGTGTGTGTGTGTGTGTGTGTGAAACACATGCCATGACCTTTATTAAAATATATATAGCAGTGTTGCACAATCTTATATGCAGATTGTGCACAAATCCAGATCCAAGATGATAAATGCATCCAAATCAAATTAGAACATGTCATTCTGAAGAAAAATGGGCATTGAGTCCCCAAGCCAATGTATTAGATCAGTAACATCACAGTGATGAGACATCTAAAAGATCGAACAGGTAAGAGTAGTAAGATACGGATGAGACACGTTAGAAACTACAAAAAAATGAATATTCAAAGTCCAACACAGCTAGATGAAGAAATCATATGACAGAATGTGCTTAAAAGTCAGTGGCTTACCCAGTTATCCGGTTGACCGTGTTCTTGGTCATGTTTATCTCAAAAGCTTCTAGATTAGGCAGTGAGAACACAACACAGGCTAGCATTGTTGCATCAACATCACTGCAAAATAAGAGAAAAAAAGAGTATTCCATCAGGCAACGTCCTACTTAACTGTCACACGTATACTGCTACAAAATAGCAACGCAAACAATTAGATATCATTTATAATCTAGCCCCATCAAGCACCTTCAAAGATATATATTTGTCATAGGCAATTAGCTATCACAGCATTCTTTGTGTTTCACTTATACATATTATAAAAAAAGGCAAATGTAAAAGCCAATACGAAAAAGAATATAAGGATAGTAAGAAGTCAACATTTATCTTAAGTACTTATCAATCATTCAGCACAGATCTGTAGATCCCAGATCCGACACAAACAAAAGACTGAAAGAAAGAAACGAGGAAACATAATTGAAAGAAACATAAGTTGCAAAATGTAGTATGCCAATGGTATTAAGGTCTACATACTCCCAGCACGATGCAGATCAACAATGTCCTACCTTTGGTCAATTATACAGCCAAGTTAATAGATCAGCAAAGGCATATCGACAGGGCCTTCCTGATCTATCACAGATGCTGATGCATGTTCGTCCCTCCCGATTTAAAACACATATACACATCAACGTAAAAGCCATAGGATCTGCAGATCTCACAGACAAATTGAAATGAGAGAGTGAGTCTTGCAGGATAAAAGGAATACATCCACTCCTTCGTTAAGTAAAACCCATATCTCGACCATTTTCTTCTCACAGCTCCCTCAAATTTAATCATAACATGTGAAATAGCAATCTAGAACACAGTGCCCGACTTACCTCCGTGGATTGATCTGAAGAAAACAAAATGAAAGCTACGATCAATGATTTCTGATCAAAAATTCATTTAGAAAGCCATCTATGTAGAGGACTTTCACTCTTATCATAACTTGCCGCATATCGATCATTCATCCAAGCTCTGGAAGCTTAGATCTGACCCAAAAAACAACGACCTAAGGCAAACCCTAATGTAGTTCATCTATTAGCAATCTTCGGACAAAAGTTAGAATTTTTTATCACCATAAATTAGTCTATTTTAATTTCTATTGCTGCAGTGGCGGAATCCACAATTATCTTCCTTCCCACAGAGAAAGCCCTGACCTTTCCATTCTCAGCGTAAGCCGCGACAATCCGGCGCACTTTTGGAGCAGCGATCCGACGAATCCGATCTGCGATCGAGGCGAAACGCTAAGCCTGAGCTCCTCCGCGGAGCGCCACATCCTCCTCACGCAACCCCTCCACCCCCGACACACCGCAGCCGCCCGCATCAGCTCCATGGGTGACAGCCGCTTCAGGACCTCCACCATGCACGACGTCGGTAGGATCATCGCCTCCTCTGTCCAGTCCACCTCGTCGTCCTCCTTCTCTTCCTCCTCAACCACCTCCGGCACCGGCGTCCCGGCCACCTCCTCGTCCACCAGCGCCGGAACGAGGGCGGAGGAGGCCCGGTCCTCGTCGGAAAAAAGAGCGCGGCGGAGGCCGTGGCCGGATCGGGGGAGGAGCGGGGCGGGGCCGCCGTCAGCGGAGGGGCAGGTGTGCCCCTTCTTGGGGAGGCCACAGCGGCCACAGTTGTAGCTGCCCCTCTTCTTGGGTAGCGCCGCCAGCTTGGGCGCAGCGGTGGCGCTGTCGACTGACGGATGGTGGAGCATGCTGATCCAAGGATCGGACTTCGGGTGGCTCAGAAGCGAGAGAGAGAGAGAGAGAGAGAGAGTGTGTGTGTGTGTGCGTGGCGTTAGGGTAGGAGAGAGGAAGGGAGCGTTGTCGGAAAGGGGCGGGAGATCAGAGACAACTTCGCGCCATTTTTGTCATGTGCGTGATACGATGAACGGGGGAAAACGGCTCGAATTTACCATAATGCACCTCGTCACGTGCACGAATCTTTCCTTTTTAACGGCATGGTCGTATCGAACGCCTGTGGGAATATTTCTCACGTGGTATGCACGTGAGTGAACAGCTAGATATGGTTTCGTCGAGCCAGACTCGGGTCGAATCGAATCGAATGTTTGAATTGTGGATCCGGATCCGATAATTTCTCAAATTTGGATCGGACATTTCGGTTCAACACCACAATTATATACGCCTTGTCAAATGTGACTACAAGATCCGCACTAATTCGACATTGAGCTTTGTTTAGGCGTATTATAATCGTTGATTTGGAGTTTGTCTCTTCTTCTAATATTAATCTTATATAGTCGCGTTACTTAAAGCTTTCTCGTGAATGTATCTATTTATCTTAAATGATCTTTTTCCATTTTATTGTTTTGCAAATGGTGTAATCTTATATGTTTCCTCTATTTTCATTATTTATTGATTGTTTCTTAATTATCCTACACTTTGATTGATCTTTATTCATTTATCTTAACTATAACTTTTCTTTTCTTTTAAATTACTAAAAATCTATGACATACAATCTACAATATTAAATTTATACGATACAATTCTTAATCATGAATAAAAACTCATTGAAACAAATATCATCTATGACTCTTCTCATTTGCACAAGATGAATTCACTTAGTACAAAAGGGTATTTGAAGAAGTGTATAATTGGTGATGCGTTCATTTAAGATAAAATGATATCTGAAACATTCAACGTGATCAAAATATTCTCATTGCATGTAATATATTTATTTACTATGGACAAAAAAAACATTGAAGGTGTGTCCATTGCAATGAAAACGTCTCCCCGAGTGTGATGCATCCAACCTAGGCAAAAAGGCAGCTAATGCGTTCAATCAGATCGGAGCATCCCCTTATGCGATGAATCTATCAAGAAACAAAAAAGAACCACGTAGAATAGAATGGACTTGACATGAATAGATAATCCACTTTCGACATGATGCATTCACCTATGGCCAAAGCACTACTTCTCATTTTTAACACAGGTAACGATAATCGAGATAAAAAGTATTCCTTGTAAATTTGATATTATATAAAAGTATATACCATACTTGACATCTTAATGTGATCATAGGCATATCATGCCCGCAATCAATCAACTAGCCTTGATATAGTTTGATCAAAATTTTCTTTGATCAATTAAACTTCTTTTCTTCTGTTGTTATCACAATAAATCGGTTTTTGTCTGTCAAATTGATAATCAAAATCGATCTTATTAGGTATTGATTTATATTTCTTCCACAAAAAATATGTCCTAATCACTGTCGATCATGACATTATTGCCCGTCATATCTTTGTCCACTGATCTAGTCATATTTTAGTACAGTCTAGCAATTGAAAAATTCAATCTAATTTTCTTTCGAAAAATAGCCAACCTGATCTAAATCGGCCACTTTTCCATGACATGCACGAACCCCTTTTTTTTTTTATTGTTCTTTGCATTTGCTTGATGAGGAATAAAAGGTTTCTTCTCACATTACAATAATTTTCTTTTTACAAAAATAAGTGTGGGAAGATGAGATTTGATCGAATAAACTTGAGTGGGATGTGACTTTTCTTCTCAAGCTAATTACAGATTATCTCCTACAATTAGTTATCTGTAGTATCTCGATTACTATATTTTTAAAATTACATTGGGATCTTTATACCTACGAAAGTTAAAAATAAATGGTTTTGTTGAAGTAACGGATTATATATTTTACTTTCATAAATATAGGGATCTCAATATAACTTTTGAAAATATAAAGATTGAAATATTAAAAATTTTAATTACAGGGGATAGGATAATATATGCGAGTTTGTTCCTCTAGTTTTTGTAAAAATGACTAAATATGACACCATAATATGTATGAGATTTCCCATAACTTTTGAATGTTTGTTCAGTTTTATAACATCCTTTTTGTTCTTTTGATTTCAGAAGATGAAATGCAAGAAAATTTTGTTGAGCAAGTAATAGAGTGCTTTAAACACAACAAGTTCTCGATAGTCGATTAATTCTACCATCAGCCACATACGATACGATTAATAGAACTTAAAATTAGGGAACAGCATGAAGTGTTTCCATACAAGCATTCAGATCATACACCGGTCCTCAACCGAGCACGCATGCTTCCAATGATTTCCATGGCAAAGCCTATATATACGTGAGAGCTTAAAGGGAGAGTGCAGAGTCATCATCTTCCTCCAGGGTGGAAGTGTACACAAAGAAGAGAGCCCAGATGAGGGCAAACACACCCACTAATATCCATCCCAGCAGGTTGTTGCTGATCCCCAAGCTCAGCCCCGTCCCCTCCGTGCTCATCCTGTCGTCCACCAGCGCCAGGACCGGGTTCGACACCGCCATGACGCTCGCCGCCGCAAGCATCGACGCCCCCGCTCCGGCCGACGGCTTCGCCTCCGTCGAGCACTTCACCCTCCCGCCCCTGCCTCCCAGCCGAGGCAAACCTGTTCGACACAAGTACACTACCACTGTTAGCTGACGATCGACGCAGGAATCAGCACCGGGATCTAAGGCTGTGTAGAGCGCTACCGATCGCTGGCGAGGAGACGGCGGTCGGCCGCCTGGGAACGGCGGTGCGGACGAAGGCTGAGGTTGGTGCTGTGGTGCCAATGGTAGCCATTATTTCCGCCTTCTCCCTCGGGGGTGGAGCTTCTCTGTGGTACTTGTGAGGGTATTATGGTGTCGTTTAAGGGAGTAGAAGACGGCCATGCACCACAAGAACGAGGGCAAGGCTATTGGATGGGGAAGATGGGGTGGATAGATTTCCTTATCCTTCTGCGGCCAATCAGTGTCTGCCAAGTGGATGATGCTTCATCAGCCTGGATTTTTTGTGATCTGCATTCATCTAAATAGCTCGATAAACTGAATCCATAATATTAAGCTCCAAGAACTTTTTTACAAGATAGATAACATATATACTCTTTTCTCTAACATACTTAGAATTACGGTGTATGCTGAAATATTGCACTACAGCGTTCGATCTTTACCCGCTTATCTACCAGCCTCCTCATTGGAGAAGGTTCATCTGTCGAGTCACAGGTATCGCCGCCAATTGGCAACGTGTACGTCGCAGTACCAAAAAAAGAAATTGCATTGTTACTCGTTTATACTTCGTCTCTACCTGCCTTATGATTGGATACATCGGCCCGTTTGTCGTGGAGCGCAAGGAGATAAATGCAACCGGTAAACAGACGGGTAGCGAAAAAAAGTACACTCGCCTCAAGCCAAAGTTCGATTTCTTCCCGCCGTGACACGGCCCACTTTCCTCTCCTGGTGTTTCATCTCTCCTCCCAATTCCATCGCCCTCTTCGATCGAATCCTGCGCCGATGTAGTCTCCTCCGGCCGGATGCTCACGGCGGGGTCACGAACAAGCCGGCGGCGGCACCGTCTTGGTGGACGGCAGGCATGT